AATTCCAGTCCACTCAAGTTTTCGATTTGATGCTGTTATTGGATTGGACGGAATTAAACTCTGATAAATTGATAAATATTTTGTGGAACGTGCCGCCACAACAAATTCTTGGCTATTTGTACAATTGTGTTTTTCATCAACGTAACGACGAATATTACATTTAATAGTTGCAGCCATACGATCGCATGGCTCTTTTCCTGCTTGTGGATCAGAAAAATCAACTAAATAAATACATAAAAGGTTCATCATAGTCGCACATGATGTAATTTAATGACATAAGAGCTTACTTCGTTTTACAAAAAGTTTGGTTTCATTCATACAATTGTTTCATGGTCAATAAGAAATCGCTAATATGATAACAACCGGCATTATCAGCTAAATTAAAATAAACAAACACACTGAATGAAAACGCAAGAGAGAACTCTGTATTATGTAAATAAAGCACCACGTATGCATGCAAATTCAATTTCAGGGTTTGATGATTTTAATCGAAGAAGAACATCCCGAAGAATACTAACAACTGTTTTCCCATTTTGTTTACAATTATCGAAGATATGACAATATGTTTTATGTTCAAATAATTGTTGATCAGATGCTGGTGATGTTGTCGATGACGATAAGAGTGTTGAAAACGGTGATGACGGTGGATGAGTTCGAATCACATATGTTAAATGCCACGAGAGACCGCGTTTTCCTAAACGAAACAGAAGATAGAGAAAGAAGTTGGAAATAGGATTTAAAAAACAATAAACATGACGCTTAGTAACTGACCGAAAAATTCTCGTTGTGCTTCCCTATATTTCATAGGTAGAAATTTCATGGCCCAGTCCATGTACAAAAGAACACTTTTTGCATTAAGATTTTCCAGAACATCATATCGTGCATCATCTTGATGTACACTTCGCAATAAATGTGCTTTCCATTGTTTGATTAAATCATAATTGTGTTCAATACGATAAATAAATCTTGAGCGTTGAGTGTCTGGGATTTGTTGATTTTCAATTAGAGATCGAAGTTTTTGTATTGATTCGTCTAATAAAAAGCATTGATCATTATGATGATGTTCGCATTTTTGTTGCCATTGTTTTTCTTTTAGATCAGACAATGCAAACACAGTACAACGATCTGGGACTGTAGATTCTTGTGAAATATGTGATTTGTAATCAGTTATCAAATAATTACGACATTGATGTAGAGCGCATCTTAATTTGTCAATTAAATGTGATGGTATGCCTAAAACCAAAAGAAGACAGTAATTTTAGAACGAAATAATATAAAACATTTTGTTCAACCTCTAGATCTTACCAAGCAATAACGGATCATCACATAATTTTACTAGTGTTTCGAATGCTGTTGACCCATCTGCCGAAAAATAATCCAAACCTTGT